TTTTTTCCGGTCCCGCACTGAGATGCGCACAAGAAAACGGAGTATGGTGTGTACGGCATCCTGGTGTATACATTGTTGTGTTGTTTCCACGGGGAAACGGGGAAAGCAGTATACACCACACCACCCCGACGTCGTCCCCGACCCTCAAAACTTCCTATGGGATTGAACAGCAGCCCGTCACTGGTAATGTATATGCTCCAGTTTCCGAACATGGCTAGCCAGCATCGAATCGGACCATCGGGTCGAATGGGAGTGTGCATCGGATCGAGCTGCATCGGCACGGAATCGAGATCAGCTCGGATCGGCTGCGCCAGGATGCGCCTGGGCGCCGCGCAAGCATCCGGCCGCATCGGATCGCTGGAGTAGCGGAATCCAATCGGATCTGGCTGGCCAAAATATCGACATCGAATCGGATCGATCGGATCGGAGTGGATCGGAACGACATCGGATCGAACAATCGTGTCGAATAGGAGCGTGCATCGGACCGAGCTGCATCGGCACGGCATCGAAACCGACTCGGATCGGGCAGCACATGTAGGGAGCCCACAAAGGACGTACGCGCCCAGCTATGTACATGAACACGGCCCCTCGATTCGCGAGACCGGCCGCGTTATACGAACATTTGTGCAGTGCGTGCTCTCGAAACCAGCGTGGATTCATGTACATGTACGTCCTTCTTTCGCTCCTGAACATGGAATCGAATCAGATGGATCGGCATCCATATCGAATCGCATCGATCGGCTCGAATTGGGCCCTGCAGGAGCCTTGGTCCTCCGACCTCACGCATCTCCCGCATCGACTCCTCTGCGCCCAGCATCGGATCGCTGGAAGAGCGGCATCGAATCGGCTCCGGCTGGCCGAAAAATATCGATCTCGAATCGCACCGATCGGCTCCAAGTGGGCCCTGAGAGAGCACGTGGCCCTCCGACCTCGCGCATCTCCCGCATCGACTCCTCCGCGCCCGCCATGTCGCCCGCCTTCACCTGCCCGGGGGGGGGGGCGGACGGCACGGCGGCACGCGGCAGCAAGAGAGGGGGCGGGAAGCGAAGGATCGGGTGCTGCTAGACGTGGCCCTGGCCGCCAGCCCCGGGCGTGCCGAGCTCGTTTTCGCGCCACCATGGAGCCCCCTTGGGGCCCCCGAGGGGCCTCGCGAGGGGCGCCCTGGGAGCCAGGCTGGCCTTGGCCAGGCGCACCTGTGTCAAGGGGCACCAGGCCACACAAACAGATAGGCACAAATCCCAGGATTCCCCATCGTTTCTCATATTTCCTGGATGTTCGTTTTCTCCTCACTTCCCATATGTTCCCACATCTTCCTCGGAGTTGATCATCTACTTTGTGTTTTCCCCCTCCTGACTTTGGAAACGCCCTTTCCTCAACCCTGCGGCCACTTTGGCGTCCCACCCGACGCCCCACCTCATCCTCAAGGCACCCCCTACGCCATGCCCGCAGAGGACGACCACTCGGACTACGACGACACGGGCCCAGAGGACGAGAGCAAGCGCGAGGGACGTTGCGAGACCAAGGACCACTGCAGCCAGCGCCGCGTCAAACTCCCGCATCGACCAGGCCCCCAGCAGCGCCAACCAGCTCACGACTCCGCTGTTGCCCTGCTCACGAGCCAAGGCGAACACGGAGGCGAGGAGGCCGAGTGCGGCGAGGCTCCCGGCGATGAGCACGCCCCTCCCGACGAGGACGACACTCCCACCTCCGCCGACGCCTCGCCCGACGCCCCCACCGAAGCCCAATCGGATGCCCCAGCCGTCCCCCATCGGGCGCCCACCCCGACGACGCCCACTCCGACGCCCAGCCTGGCGTCCTGCCCGACGCCTGACCCAACGCACAGCCCGGCGTCGACCTCCACATCGACCGGGGTGCTCTGCGGCCCCGTGGACAACGAACGGCACCAACGCGGCCAGCTCGCTGACCGCCGTGCCGATCCCGTTCTCGTGACGACCGCCGCCCAGGCTTGTCCACCGCGGCTTGGAGTACAGGCGCGGCTAGCACTGCCCCTGGGACCCGTTGGGGGACTTCGACGGCCACCAGCATCGGCACACCGAGCACAATGCCGACTTCACCACCGCCCTCGGTGCCATCCGGCGGAGCGGACAGAGGCATCCCAACGGCGAGCTCGCGCAGCGCGATGCCGTGCTCGACGACTTGTCCGATGCTGCTCACCCGCGACCATTTCGACATCCCCACGCGGACGGTGCGGTTCGCTGACCCTTTCCTGTAGATCACGCTGATCCCCCTCGCGCCCATCCCAACGCATCCCTTTCCAGCCTGACGCCCGTCACGACGTCCCCACCCAACCCAGCGCCCCATCCAACGCTGTCGCCCAATCCAATGACCTGCCCAGGACGCATACCCCGACGCCCAACACGACGCCCTATTTGACGTTCAGCGCAATGGAGACGACGAGTCCGGCTTCTGTCCGCAAATGTCGAGCAGCGCGGCGTCTAGGTAGGACCACTTCAACGATGACCTCCGCGGCGGCACGGAGCAGCAGCGTGAGTTCGGACGAAAGCAGCGCGATCTCAGGCGTAACGGTGCCGAGGAGCCCTGCGTGTCCACGACCTCTTCCACGACGAGCCTCGCAAAAACAAAGCTCAGCAGCGTCAATACAGTAGGGACTCGAGCACAAGAAACCTCCCACCAGAAACCCAACCCTGAGACTCCAGGACGTGCATGAATGATCGGTGTGACCATCGCGAAACCATCGAAACCCAAGAAACCCAGGGCACCCTGGAGGCAAGGAGGGTGTTTCTTGGCATGGGTCTCCACTGTATCGCCGAGATGATGAGCTCGGCTCCCAGCAGCACGACCTCAAGCAGCGCCGCGCCCGCAGCCACCTCGACGCTTGGCCTCACGACGGCAGGGATCGGCAGCGGGAGCACGATCGAGACGAGCAGCGCGAGGCCAAACACCACGACGTCGAACAGGCCTACGTCCACGGCCTCTTCCACGGTGAACCCCAAGACTTAACGGGCGAAGAACGGTATAACATAAACTTGTTCGCTGTCGGGGGCGCCTGTCCCAGGGCGGCTGGAAAGTTTATACCCTTACGCTGGAAAGTTTATACCCTTACGGTGGCACCGTAGGGGTATAAACTTTCCAGCCGCCCTGGGACAGGCGCCCCCGACAGCGAAAAAGTTTATCTTATACCGTTCTTCGCTCGCTGAAAGACAACAGTGAGCAGCGGCAGGAGCCTGGCCGAAACGATCAGCTCGGCGACCAGCGACACTATTCTGAGCAGCGCGACGTCCACGGCCACCTGAGTGGCCAGCTCCGCGACGCCCTACCCAACGACTCCGTATCCCGCGCCCTACCCCACGCCGCGAAGTGGATGACATCCACCCGTTGGGCCCTCGAGGCCCGCGGCCAGTGCTCTTCACCCACACCCTGCCCGACGCCCCGTCCTATCCCTGGCAGGTGCGCTTTGCCGACGACATCCCCGACGACCACGACTCTCACGACCCCACCCACACGTACCTTCCTTTGCCGCCATCTCTGGGCTCTGACGGCCATTTCGACGGCCACATCAGCCACCCCGACGGCCACGACAGCCACCGACGGCCCCTACGGACCCCCGACAACGACGAGAACGCCGCCCCAGCCCCACCAAGCTTGGAGCCCAACGAACTTCCATCTGACGGCACCCGTCCCGACAGCAGCTCGATCTGGTGCGTGCGATTCGCCGACGCGCCACAGACTGCACCACGGCTGGTTTCGATTGCACTGAAGCCCTCGCCCCCCTCCTCCTCCTCCATCCTCCATCCTCCATCCTCCATCCTCCTCCTCCTCCTCCTCCTCCTCCTCCTCCTCCTCCTCCTCCTCCTCCTCCTCCTCCTCCTCCTCCTCCACGGCGAGCCTGGGAGCGGACCCTCGTGGTGAGCTTCCCGATGGCCTGCGCGCGGAGCGCGTCGTCCCCCGAGGAGTCGCCGCACGCCGCCCCTCCCGGAGCGGGGGCGAAGGCGGCCTCGCAGCCGCGCTCCTCGAGGGCGGCGCCCGCCTTCTTCTTGCGCGGCTTCGGGGGGGCGTCGCCGCGGAGCCGGGAGACCTATGTTCGGGGTCTCGGGCTCCCCTCCTCCTCCTCCTCCTCCTCCTCCTCCTCCTCCTCCTCCTCCTCCTCCTCCTCCTCCATTCTTTGTCCATATATATATGTATATATTAAAACTTCTCCCTGTCGCACCCCGAGGCAAGTTGTTAGGGCGGGCCTGGCGTTTAGCCTGAGACTTCCTCACAATGTATGACCCTGAAGCTCAAACATTTGCAACAGTTTCACAGGTGGAGCGCGGGTGGTTTTCAAAATGTGGCTCTCACCTTAGCGCGGCGCACATTCGTTCAAAAATGCAAGAGCTTCACGGATTGAGGGCGGGTCGTTTTCAAAATGTGGTTCTCGCCTGAGCGCGGCGCACATTCGTTGCCAAAAGTTACCTAGAGCTTCACGGATTGAGGGCGGGTCGTTTTCAAAATATAGCTCTCGCCTTAGCGCGGCGCACATTCGTTGAAAAAATGCAAGAGTCTCACGGTTTGAGGGCCGGTGGTTGTCAAAATGTGGATCTTGCGTTAGCGCGGCACACATTCGTTTTAAACATTTGCAAAAGTTTCACGCATTGCGGGCGGTTCCTTTTCAAAATCTGGTTCGCGCCTTAGCGCTGCGCACATTCGTTCACCAAATTCTCAAGAGTTCCACGGATTCCCATCATCAACGTACCAGAAATGGTGCTTTGGGAGGATTCCGGATTATGCGGGTGCAACAGTTACGTTGATTCTCTGGGCTGAAGTCCTGGGAATGGCGTTCTGGCACAATTCAGGATCCTCGAGACGCAACGGTCAGGTTGATCCGTGGCGTTGGAACCCCGAGAACAATGTTTGGGGTTGCTTCAGGGTCTTCAAACGAATGTTTTCCAACGAGGCACTTCCATCAATGGAAGTGAACCGTTGTAGGGGCCTATGAAGAGTGAGCTTGGAGGGAGGATTTACTCCAACATCGTTGGTGACTCTTGCGTTTACACTGGTCCTCCTCCTCCTCCCCCTCCTCCTCCTCCCCCTCCTCCTCCTCCTCCTCCTCCTCCTTCTCATCCTCCTCCTCCTCCTCCACCTCCTCCTCCCCCTCATCCTCCATCCCTGCTGCTTGTGGACAACTCCTCCCTGCCACATCCCCTTGACGTGTCGGTCGGACAGGCCAGGCGTTTCGCGTGAGACCTCCTCACCGCTTACGACCCTGAAGCTGGAAACTTCCGACAGTCTTAAAACGGAGGGCGGGCCGTTTTCAAAATGTGGCTATCGCCTTAGCGCCGAGCGCATCCGTCGCACAAGTTTCAGCAGCTTCAAAGAGGGAGGGCGGGAGTTTTCAGAATGTGGCTCTCGCCGTAGCGCCGAGCACACTCGTCGCAAAAGCTTGCAGCGGCTTCAAGGAGGATGAGGGGCTCATGTTCAAAGTGTAGCTCTCTCCTTAGCGCCGCCCACATTCGTCTTCAGAGTTTGCCATTGCCTGAAGATTAAGTCACAGGAAGGGTGTTCTGGCACGATGGAGGAATGTCAGGGCGCCGCAGCCACGCTGATTCGCAGCAATGAAATCTCACGAATTGTGCTCTGGCACGTTTTCCGATTGTCAGGACGAAACAGCCGCGTTGACTCGCGGCGAGAAAGTCGTCCCAAGGAGCGGCGTTCAGCACGATTGATTCACACACGGTTGTCCTCAAATGTGACACTACCTGCAATGAAAATAAGCTGTTGTAGAGACCTGTGAAGAGGGAACTTGAAGGGAAGGTGCATTGCAGCATCGTTGGTGCGTCTTGGGTGGTTTACGCTGGTCCTCCTCCTCGTCGTCCTCCTCCTCCTCGTCCTCCTCCTCCTTCCCCCTTCTCTCTCCCTCTTTCCCGCTGCTTTCCCCCCCCTCCTCCCTCCTTCGCGAAGACGGGCCGCGCGGTGACCTCGGAATCCCCAACGACCTCACCGCACGGTCCGTCACCGCCGGATGTTTTGGGAACCCTGGAGGCCCCAGTCGCCCGAAACGTCCTCGGAGAACGACCCGAGTCCCAAAACAGTGCGGTCACCCCGAATCCTCACTGGCGCGCCACACGGTGTGGTCAGCGCACCGTTTGTGCGCCCCCGACTCTGGGTGGAGGCCTCCCAAATTCGACGGAGCAGATGGAGCTGGAGAATCGTGCCGCATCGGCGCATCGCCGATGCATCAACGATGCGTCGGCAACGGCGGGCTCCAGAGGCTCCAGATCGCGCCGCGTCGCCGATGCAACGAGGATGCGGCACGATCCTCCGACCCCATCTGCTCCAGCGCCGTGCGGGAGGCCTGCGTTGAAGGCTTCTGGGGGGGGCGGCTTCTGGAGGGCTGTCGTCGCTGCAGCCATGGCCGCGCCACGAAAGCTTGCCACGATCGGGTGCGGGCGTCGGGTTCAGCAAGAGTACGCCCCCAAGAGAGCGCAGCCACTCGCTGCTTCTACCCCGTCGCTTGTCGTCGCTGCAGCCATGGCCGCGCCACGAGAAGCAAGCCACGATCGGGTGCGTGCGTCGGACTCAGCAAGAGTACGCCACCAAGAGAGCGCAGCCACTCGCTGCTTTTACCCCGTCGTTCTTCCAAGAACACAAGACGCCATTGTGTGTCATCGCTTGCCCAAGGGACGCGGGCATCGGGCCGCTTACGCTGGGACGAAACGCGTAGGGCCAGGAGGCCCCCCGGGGAGGTGCCCGGGAACAGGTTACGAGAGGAGGTTGGTCGGGAGTGGGGTGAAGGGAGTGGCCATCAAAGGGAAAGAGGGCACCCCGCCCCCAGAGAGACCGGAGGCCTCCTGGATGGGGTCCGAGTAGACGGGGCTGGAGGATCGCGGCGCATCGCCAGTGCACCGCCGATGCATCGGCGATGCATCGGTGGTGCATCGCCGACGTCGGCGACGCATCGGCGACGCATCGGCGTGGAGAAAATTGGGCTCCGCATCGAGCCGCATCGCAGATGCACCAGCGAGGCGGCGCGATCCTCCGACCCCCTCGGCTCCGACCACATCCAGGAGGCCTAGACCTATGCTGGAAATATCCGACAGTCTTAAAACGGAGGAAGGGCCGTTTTCAAAATGTGGCTATCGCCTTAGCGCCGAGCGCATTCGTCGCACAAGTTTCAACAGCTTCACGGAGGGAGGGCGGGAGTTTTCAGAATGTGGCTCTCGCCGTAGCGCCGAGCACACTCGTCGCAAAAGCTTGCAGCGGCTTCAAGGAAGGAAGGAAGGAAGGAAGGAAGGAAGGAGGCCTAGACCCATGCAGCACGCAACCATCCGCCGGCGCAGAACCACGTGCCCACAGGCGCGCGTCCAGCCGCACCGGGTGCGAAGGGCTCACCCGCCTTGGGCGCAGCACGCCTCCAGGCCGTCGAACCGAGGAGCCTTCATTATCATGCTGGCAAGCGCACGGGAGGAGGAGGAGGAGGAGGAGGAGGAGGAGGAGGAGGAGGAGGAGGAGGAGGAGGAGGAGGGGGACCAGCGCAAACCC